GGTGTTCAACATGATTAAAATGTACGCTGCAGCCGTCTCTTCCTGTCACGAAGGTTTCGGGGACAGAACTGCTTTTAATCATCCTTTAATCAGAAAAAAATAGACTAGTGGCAGCTTAGAGCGGGGGGAGGGAGAGACATTTGAATTGTCTGTACCTACAGTTTAGAGCTGGATGGAAAGACAGCTGAGCCGTGCGTTGTTTTTTAGCTTTTTAGCTAGCTAGTATTGCGCACAGCTAATTAGCGTCACACCAGTACCGACAGGTGGAGGGGGGTGCGAATTTCGATGAGGTTGTTCGGCGCGCTCTGTTCTGTTAAGGGGGTGGGGCGTCCTGACGTATTATGTCATGAAATTAGCATATCATGATTAGGGATGCACTGATCCACTTTTTAAACTTCCGATCTGATCCCGATACCTAAGTCTGAATATCGGCCGATACCGATCCAGTTCCAATTTCATCATCATCATAGATTTTATATGAGGTTGTAATAATCTCCTCTCAAGTACAATTTGTACAAATATATGCATGCATGTCCAAAAAGGCAACTTTAGGTAAGTTTTACTAATTTTGGATAAGTTTTAAAGTTAGAATTAAATTCTGCTAACACAGAACATGTTTCTTTTTATTCCTAGCTTTAAAGTGGATATTAAAGTGATTAATTTTAAGTGATTGTTTAAAGTAATTTTATATTTTTTAAATAAGGGGCAGATATAAGAATTTTACTTCTTTCTGCACTCTTTTCATTCAATGTTTTCTTTTTCATGATTAAAAAAAATTATTTTAAATGAGTGAATTAAATTAAATAAAATGTTAAATGGCTTCAAACACCTGCTAAGTTCATGGCATAAACCAACAGACATGTTCCCGTTTTTAGTATTTTACATCACTTTATAATGTAGCTGTTTTTGTTTTTAATATAATTTTCAAATCATGTGTTTTTTTTATGATTATCTACTGTTGTACTGATAAATATCTCGTGGAGGGTAAACTATATCTTGGCTGCAAGTATCAAGCTGTGAAAGCCTTCGTTTTCTACAACCGATAGGGGTTGGTCATGAATCATGATGAAGTTTAACAACTTTTTGGTAAACTTTTGAGCTCTGTGGTTTCAGCGATGTCTTCTTCTTGTTCAATCCGAAGCAGGCAGCCTGATTTGGGGCAGCCGCGCTCAGTCTGTCCCTCTTCAGAGACGGGCAGACTGAGCGCGGCAGATTGGACGCGGCTGGCTGGGGTCGAGTCGCCTCTTTCCGGTTGAGCAAAGAGCAGCGCCCCGCTGAAGCCACAGAGCTCGAATGTCCAACGTAAAACTAACTTTACCGCGGTTTATTGTGGTGCTATGGCTCTGCAGACATTGCTCGATGCTGTCTTATTTTGTGGTGTTTCTAGTGTAAAATACTTCCACACAGCGGACATGTTTTGATGAAAAGTTGGTTAGCTGTTAGCCACAGTGCTGCTAACTTCTCACGTTGTAGCTGGCTGCAAACTATGAACTGGATTTCCTGAATGTGAGGCGGGTCTTATTACTCTGGGTTCATGAGACACGCCTCCGTTCAGGAAATCCATTCCATAGTTTGAAGCCAACATGCATCATGGATCGGAAATATTGGGAGGTGGATCGGAAAAATCCGATACGTAAATTATGCTGTAATCGGAGGCCGATACCGATACTGGATCGGATCGACCCCATCCCTAATCATGACATCATTTTTTTGCCCGGGCAAGCTTTTTTTACCTGTATAATCGTGAACGATATGATATGGCCCAGCCCTAGCAAGGATGTATATTTGAAATGAAAATGATTAATACAAATAAAAAAAAATATATAGTTTTATGTATACAGTTTAGCAATCTTGTCTGTGGTCAAAGTTCAGAATCATGCGTAGACCACTCCCATCTCTTCACCGCCACGACTACAAGCTAGTTTTACCTCCCAGAGGGGAAAATGGAAGAAAAACGTAAGAAAACACATTTGCACAGTAACTGGAAGGAAAAGGTCTTTCACAGTGTTGAAAGACAAGCGTGTCTGTGTCTCATTAGTGAGCTGTGGTGACAGCCAAACACAATGTGGAGCAACACTTAATCAGCTAACATGCTAGCTTCATTGCTAACTAGCCCCCTGGTGGCTCACAACAGACAGAAGAATGTCAGAGTTAAAGGCTGCTTTGAGCAGGTAGATGGTTTTCATGAGGCATTTTCAGGTGTGGAGCTCTTGAAAGAAGCAACGATGAAATATGTGAAAAATAATTTATTAAAAAGAGTAAAAGATGAGTTGATTAGTCAAAATTTTATATGTACAGCACTTTGTTTCAGCTGTGGTTGTTTTAAAGGGCTTTATAAATAAAGTATTATTATTATTATTATTAAAAATGTTGAAGATCTAAGGATCAATACTAATGTCACATGATTCATTTAAAAATGTCACTTTTTTATTATATTACATTATTGATATTTTGTATCTGTAAGAGTTAAGTTTTTCTGAAACGTTACAAATACAGCAGTTAGTGCAAACAGGGCTTGATTGGAAGATTTTATTCTTAGTAGGTTCTTAAAAAATGCTACAGATTTGTCAATAGTAAAAATAAAATTTTGAATGAATGTTACAAATGTGTTCATTCCTACAAAACAGTTAATGAAATATTTATAAAATACACTGAATTTCAAATGTTACAGATTGAGTTTAACATAAAATAAATGATGTTTTATGTTTATATCAGTTAATAAGTCATCCATTATGCCCCCTTGTTTAGGACTGGAACCCATCTCAGCTGCTTTTGAGTGAAGGCAGGGAACACCCAGGACATGTCTCCAGTCCATCACAGAGACAGACAAAGAGACTAACAACCATCCACACTCTCAGTCACAGCTAAGAACAATTTACAGTCGCACAGAAGAACTAAAATAGGGATTCAAACTGAGGACTCAAGTTCTCGATTGAGAATTCTAATCACTAATTATCAATAATAATTGATAATATTTACCATGCTTACTGATAATCACTGTGGGGAGTTTTTAATAATACAGATCAGATCAGATGTGATCAGGCAGTCATATATTAATGTGTGTAAATGTATTATTATTAATACTGTAATTAAAGGTGAGCCGTGCAAATTTGTTTGGATCGAACAAGTAGCTCTTCGTGTCTCTCGGTCGCACTGAAGTAGCTCTCAGTCTCAAAAAGGTTGGTGACCCCTGCACTAAAGCATTAGCCATCTTGTTCCACCGTTGATGCTGGGACTGTGTCTTTAGCGATATGATAAGCTGCCGATTAATTAATGTTGCACCCTCACTGTTCTTCTCATAATGCACAGCATGGTTAAATGAGTTTTCACCCATGGTTTGTTTCAGGGAAGGAGTCTGAAAACACAGTCGGAGCTGCAGCTTATAACTTAAATTATAGCGCTGTTTTAAATAGTGAAAAAGATTTGTAGTTCCAACCTTTTGTCGGGACTTGTTTTCGGCACTGTCTACTGAAAACATTTTTCTGCTGCTCATCTGACACTTTAAGTCAAGTCAACTTTATTTATAGAACACATTTAAAACAGAACCTGTTATCAAATTGCTTAACAACATCAATGGGAGTAAAATTAATGAGAAAAAATACAATACACTAATAATAACTGAAGAATGAATAAAAAGCATTTAAAATATAGGATCACAGAACAAAAAACACTAAATCAATTTACACTGTGTGAAATGCCTGCGAGAACAGATGTGTTTTTAGCAGAGATTTGAAGTGAGGAAGGGAGGTGGCCAGCCTAATGTTGGGGGACAGGTTGTTCCAGAGTTTGGGGCCCATGACTGAAAATACCCGATCTCCTCTGAGCTTCAGTCTCGTCTTCAGTCTTCACTCTTTCAATCCAAACAATCTCCGAAGTAACAGCCATTGTTTTTCTTTTTGGTCAGCTGATAAGCTGCTCTTCTTATCTTCCGTGTTTACTTGTGTTAAACGCTAGCCCACCTGGAGAAGCAGGAGGGGGAGCACATGCGGCTGAGGGGATGTGTATTTGTATTCAAGGACGGAAAAGGAGGGGGCATGTGGGGAAAAAAGAGGACAGCAGGCGGATTTTCAAGTACAGTAGCACTATATCATTTATATCGACATAGTCTCATCTTATATCGCAAATGAAATTATCTATATTTTTAAAATATTGATATATCGCCCAGCCCTACTATACATACATTTACAGTAAATTTGCATATGCTGATGGGGGAAAAAATGGAAAAAGGTGGAACACATGCAGAAACCCTGCTGCAGACAATGTGAAAGATACCAGCCAGAGATTATTTTCAAGACATTAAAGGACACTCTTGCTGGTTAAAAACCGTTTTGTCACCACATTTTTTTTTTTATCAGGAAGGAAAGTCTATAATTCATGAATTTTTTAGATATATATGGATGAATTAAAGTTCTCCATCGCTGCAATGGATTTCTGTCATCTGTAAAAATTAAGAGGGGGAAAAAAGTGTGTGTTTTGTGGTCCTGGTAAATCCATCCACACTAATGATGATACAGAAATTAAACTGATGGTGCTTTCAACCAATAAAGAGAACCTGAGCTACAGTTTGAGCTAATCAGAACAGAGTAGGACGGGGCCTGCTGTCTGGTTCACGGTGAGGCCATGTGTGAGCTGCAGAGAAACTGCAGGTGAAGCCGGGGTGCTTGGTTCTGTTGACAGGGCGGGGCACCCACCCTGTATAATGGTCTGGGGAAACACTAATACAAACATATGTACGTACGTGTGTGTGTTTATAATAGTTATCACGTGTGTGCGCAGTTTTCCCCTAGACAACTTCCCATGGCAGGGCGCTCTTAAGTTTTTTAGCTTGCACACCTGTTTTGCAAGCTGCTAGCTTAGCATTACGTTAGTGCCAACAGGTGGGAGAGGGGTCTGCGCGTTTCGGTAGGCAGGGCGCCCTGCTTGTATAATGGTAGGGGAAACACTGGTGTGTGTGTGTGTTTATAACTAATTCTTCTCTCTCTAAACTTGAAATTAATTAGACTTATAAAGAGCACCTGGAAGGCCAGAAGCACAAGAAGAAGGAAGCTGCTCTGAAGGTTTCTCAGAGCAGCACCAGCAGTGGTGGAAGTGCAGGAGTGTTGGCCCGCAGCGCTCAGAACCAGCTCCGCTGTGAACTCTGTGATGTTTCATGTACTGGCGCTGACGCATACGCTGCTCATATCCGAGGAGCCAAGCACCAAAAGGTATGGGTTTGAGAGGATCTATTGAAACTGTAAATTCCTAATTGTACTTGGGTTTTAGTTTTTTCTCTGTTGTGTGTTTGTGTTCGAGTGTGAAAAGTTTTTGCATGATAGAAATTAGTTTGTTTTATATTCCATGTTAAACAGTTGTTACTGTAAAAATCTGTTTATCTGCCAAAGTATTTTTGCCACATTTAAGACTGAAAAACCTAAAGATTATTCTAGCTGCACTGGGTTTCCTCAGTTGCTTTGTGTCGTGCCATCAGCCATATAGAGTTGAGGTTTTCCATCCGAAAAATCTGTTAAAAACAGTCTCATCACACAAAAACCTGCCCAATCGATATATTGTTACAGTATATTTACTGTTTGAACATGAATGCACATTGGTACAAGCCAAGGTAATTTCACCACTTGCTCTTGCCGATGTTGGACGCTTTTCCCCTCCCCTCCCTCTCCGCTTTGCTTTGCTGCTTTGTCTGTCTGTGAAACTGCTTTTGAGCCTCTCTTGCATATCTTCCGAACCTTAATTACAGACTTGATTTGATCAGTTGGTCCCTCAGCACAGTTAACATTTCTTCGAAGAGAAGACAGGCTTTAGGTGTGACGATTTGCCCTGTTGGCACGCACGCAGCTGGATATCTCAACAACTTGAAGACTTGATGATGTGTCTATCTGTGCTGCCATTTGTGGATTTTAAGGATGCATATTTAATTGGATTTACGATAACTGGTTCCTGCTTTTTGCATTTGGCTGGTTGCTGGTTTTATACCATACCATTTTATTTATAGAGCACTTAAAACAGTTACAAGGCCAACCAAAGTGCTGTACAGACAGAACAACAGACAACAGATTCTAGAATTGCGCCGCTCAAGGCGGCTGCATGTTGGAGCAGCTCTGTTACTTTCATTCTGAGATTTTGCTTTTGGAAACTTTAATTCCTCTTTTTCTGGATGTAAATCACATTTTTTGGATGATTGTTTCCTCTGGTATCGAATGCTGTGCAGCTGGAAGGATTTTTACTGAAACTTTTTTAGTTTTGGACATTTGTTATGATGCGTAACCATGGCAACAAGGCAGTTTCTACAACCAACAGCAGCTGATTAATATCTCAAAAGCTCAAGTAATATCTCAACTACAGCCCTAAATATCAAATGAGTTGAAAAGGATGTTCTGTGGACGCATTTTCATCTACCTGCCTGCTGTGCTCGAGTGCCTGACCACTGAGATGCTGGAACTAGCAGGAAACACGGCTCATGACAGCGGAAGGACAGGATCGTCCATTAGCACCTACAGTTAGCTGTCCGCAGCGATGAGGAGCTCAACAAGCTGCTGGGAGGAGTGGGCATTGCCCTGGGAGGATTTCTGCCCAAAATTCAGGTGATCCTGAAGCCCAGGAGGCCAACCAAGTGCAAGTAAACGGATCAACATCTGTGGCCAGTTTTTTCAGATCTGCTATAAGACGGACCATCACAAGAGATCCTTCCCGCCCACAACCATCAACATCTAGAACAACTCTTTTATGAAACAAGGAAAATGAGCTACAACAACATTTAATTTCCCTCTGGGATTAATAAAGTATTTTTGAATTGAATTGAATTGAACACACAAAGCAATATACAAAATGAAGTAAATCAAAAATATAGACATAAAATCAATGCAGATAATAATCAAGGAAGTCATTGGCAGCAAATTGGTACCCGATCACGCTGCTTGCCTTTATGATGGCTTGGTTAGTGCCTCGAGTACCCAAACTCAAATGCTTTGGGCAGAATGGATCAGATCTCGGGGATTTTACTCAGGCACGTTCCATCGGTGTGGCCATGTAATTTGGACATTTCGGAACCGTTTGGACCAACGCAGATTCGAGGTAGATGTCATTAAGTTCGGCCTGTCCCCAAAACAACTGTGTTTATCTGAATTTGGCTCCCCTGGCTGGCTTTATAGCCAACTTATCTGAATTCACCTGGACAACATGTGATCTGACACCCCCCCGAGGAATTTCCAACTGATAACCAGAAGAAACCAGCTGAATAAATATTGTGTCCTCGTTTCAGGACTTTTGGATTCTCATAGATGTTATTCTTAGCCATTCCCCGACATCCCTCGAGATTGTTTACAGAGCTCACCAGAGGAAACGGTGGTTACGTACTGTAACTCCAGATTCTAGGAGTATAGGCGCAGCCCTTGAAGGCTATCGCTAGTGGGTTTATCCCGTCGCGCGCAGTGCAGCACTGAAAACTTTAGTCCACGCCCACCGGCTGTGTGGGCCCCATCCTCAGTTTGTATAAATTATGATAAGACCGGGCAATCTGCTCCCAAATAGATTTTTTTCTTCAGCCATTTAGAAACCAGTGAGGCTCAGAGCTTAAAGGGCTGTGCCTATACTCATAGAATCTGAGGTTACAGTACATAACCAATGTTCTATTTTGTATAGGCTTCACCATTTAAGGCTGTCACTAGTGGGTTAAAGGCGAAGCAGGATGTAGTCTATGTCTCACTGGGTCCATTCAGACAAAACATGAAGCACCTGCTTGCACAAAAAAACATTTCATCACTCAACCTTCTGTGTGCGTAATTACGCGCCGCGTAATTGCGTGCTCCATGCGCAGGAGTGCACCGGAGAAAAGATCTCTGGTCAGGAAAAAAAGGCTGAGATAGCAGACCTGCTGCTGTGAATAGGAACAACGGAGGATACGAATTGTAACAGTGTAATGAGTTTTTTATTTGTTAATAAAGTTTGACACATCCAGTAAATTTCATTGCACTTCACGGTTGTGTCCCACTTGTTGTTGATTCTTCACAAAAAATTACAAACCGGATTCCAAAAAAGTTGGGACACTAAACAGATTGTGAATAAAAACTGAATGCAATGATGTGGAGATGGCAAATGTCAATATTTTATTCGTAATATAACATAGATGACAGATCAAAAGTTTAATCTGAGTAAATGTAACATTTTAAAGGAAAAATGTGTTGATTCAAAATTTCACAGTGTCAATAAATTCCAAAAAAGTTGGGACAAGTAGCAATAAGTGGCTGGAAAAAGGAAATTGAGCATATAACGAACAGCTGGAAGAACAATTAACACTAATTAGGTCAATTGACAACATGATTGGGTATAAAAAGAGCTTCTCAGAGTGTTAGTGTCTCTCAGAAGCCAAGATGGTAAGAGGATCACCAATTCCACCATTGTTGCGAAAAAAGATAGTACAGCAATACCAGAATGGTGTTACCCAGCGTAAAATAGCAAAGACTTTTAAGTTATCCTCATCAACCGTGCATAATATCATCAATAGATTCAGAGAATCTGGAACAATCACTGTGCGTAAGGGTCAAGGCCGTAAAACTCTACTGGATGCTCAAGATTTCCGGGCCCTTAAACGTCACTGCACCTCAAACAGGAATGCCACTGTCAAGGAAATAACAGAATGGGCTCAGGAATACTTCCCGAAAGCATTGTCAGTGAACACAATCCACCGAGCCATCCGCCGTTGCCAGCTGAAACACTACAGTGTAAATAGGAAGCCATTTTTAAGCATCTCCACAAGCTCAGACGTTTGCACTGGGCCAGGGGTAATTTAAAATGGAGTGTGGCAAAATGGAAGACTGTTCTGTGGTCAATGAGTCACGATTTGAAGTTCTTTATGGAACACTGGGACGCCATGTTATCCGGACCAGAGAGGACAAGCATAGCCCAAGTTGTTATCAGCGCTCAGTTCAGAAGCCTGCATCACTGATGGTATGGGGTTGCATGAGCGCTTGTGGCATGGGCAGCTTGCATGTCTGGAAAGGCACCATTAATGCAGAGAACTATGTTCAGGTTCTAGAACAACATATGCTCCCATCTAGACATCATCTCTTTCAAGGAAGACCCTGCATTTTTCAACACGATAATGCCAGACTACATTCTGCAGCAATCGCAACATCATGGCTACGTAGGAGAAGGATCCGGGTACTGAAATGGCCAGCCTGCAGACCAGATCTTTCACCTATAGAGAACATTTGGCGCATCATAAAGAGGAAGGTGCGACAAAGAAGGCCCAAGACTATTGAACAGTTACAGCACTGTATTTGACATGAATGGGAGAGCATTCCTATTTATAAAATTAAGAAACTGGTCTCCTCTGTCCCCAGACGTCTGTTGAGTGTTGTAAGAAGAAGGGGGGATGCCACACAGTGGTAAAGATGGACTTGTCCCAACTTTTTTGGGATTTGTTGATGCCATGAAATTTGGAAACAACGGATTTTTCCCTTAAAATGATACATTCTCTCAGTTTAACCTTTTAATCTGTGATTTGTGTTCTATTCTGAATAAAATATTAGATGTTGGCACCTCCACATCATTGCATTCAGTTTTTATTCACAAATTGTTTAGTGTCCGAACTTTTTTGGAATCCGGTTTGTGTGTATATATATATATATATATATATATATATATATAT